CATTACACTCTCTCAAATTTCAGACATTAAATGAGTCTTTGGCATGTGTTAGTTCTCAAAAAACAATGCAGTTTGACTCACTTCCTTACAAATAATGCCGTCATTGGGTTAGGACGTAATCTTTTGTTTCGGCTTTCATAAAAATTTGATACAAGAAAATATTCATTTAAAAATATTTCTGGTCTTTAATAAAGCTGTAGCTATAGATGTCTATTTCATACTCAATGTTGCTTATGATGTTCTGAAGGATAAATTACCAGGAAACAGGGAGGTTTTACCTAAATCACACTGCTCAACCTACTTCACCTATAGGAGATGCCAATTCTAAGAAGAGGAACGGACAGTATAAGTGCTCACTTCCTTAGCTGGGGGAGAGAAGGGAGGAACTGAGGAAAAACCAGCAAACTGCCTAGTCTTGGATAAATAACTGAAGGGACCCAGACAATAGGCCTCCTATATCTCCTGAGAGAAAATTCCACAGCCCAGCATTCCAAGTATCCTATTCATGGCCTCCAGATGCTAGAAGCCAGATCACAGAAAGCACCAAGACCTTAGATGAGCTGGATTCAAGGCAGCGCAGGTCGTCTCTACCTGCTATATGCATTGTTCTTGGCAGAGTGAGGAGAGGTATCCAAATAAAAGACTATAGGTTGTAAAAGGAAGTTTGAAATAATAATTTCTCATGAGGGAAAAGCAAAATTATTTTGTGAAGAGCAGGAGAAAAGGAAAAGGAATTTTGTTCCCCACTCCTCTTCCCAATTCCCAGGTCTCTCTGGCTATGGTTTCTCCTCCCCAGAGATGAAAAAACCTGGCTGCCTGTATACACCTGATTAATGGAAACAGAGATTTTCAGAGTAGCTCCACACTCTTTAATTCTCTCCCTCTATGACTCTAGAAATGCTTCATTTGTCTGTGTAAAAGTAATTCTAGTTATAGTGATTTACATGAACTACTTACTTACCATTTATGCCTAATTACCTCACAGCACAATAACAATTATGCATACATTAAATGTGCCAGATTAACCTGGCTATAAGTTTTATTTGATAACAAAAGTAAAGTATTCATAAATGCTTATTCTTTATAGTTTGTTGCTCATATAGCATAGTCATCTGCTCATGACTTTTTCAAATTTTTACTAAAGAAAACATTTTTATGTAGGTAGGTGAAAGCAGCCTAATAGTCTGCCACCAATTTTTTCTCACTGACTAATAATTCTGGCATTTTGTGAAGAAGGTGCATTTTATTCTAACATTATGGCTTTTACCCTTACAGAAAGTTTCTTAGGAGTACAATTTTTTTTTAACAAGTCCACCAAAATGAATATTTAAACATCTGCATCAAAATCAAATGCCCATATATGCTAACTGAAATAAGTCAGACAAAGATAATACTGTATGTTCTCACTTACATGCAGAATTTTTAAAAAGCGTAATTCATAGGATGGTGGTTACCAAGGGCTGTGGGTTAGGGGAAATGGTGAAATACTGGTCAAAGGGTACAAACTCTCAGCTATAATATGAATAAGTTCTGGGAATCATGGTGACTATAATTAACAATACAGTATTATATTATATACTTGAAAGTCGTTAAAAGAGTAGATCTTAGGAGCTTCCCTGGTGGCACAGTGGTTGAGAGTCCGCCTGCCGATGCAGGGGACATGGGTTCATGCCCCAGTCCAGGAGGATCCCACATGCCGCAGAGCGGCTAGGGCCATGAGCCACGGCCGCTGAGCCTGCGCATCCGGAGCCTGTGCTCCACAACAGGAGAGGTCACAGCAGTGAGAGGCCCGCGAAAGAGTAGATCTTAAATGTTTTTACCACAATGAGAAACAGTAATTATGTGAAGGGATATAGTTGTTAACTAACTTTACTATGGTAATCATTTTGCAATGTATACAGGTATCAAATCATCACATTGCACACCTTAAACTTACATATGCTATCTGTCAATAATATCTCAATAAAGCTGGGGAGAAAATCAAATGTCCATGAAATTTTAAACCCTATTTACCAAAATCAAGAACTCTACATACTAACAAAGTTCTACTGCTGGAAAACTTAACAGTCCAATGTTTCCTTCTCTGATAATCAGCATATCAGTCTTTATTTTTAGAAGAAGTAGGTCTGTGGCACCTTTAGAATCTTCAAAACTAAAGCTTTTATATATGTTTTATTCAAATTACATTTGATATTTGGATCTTTTTCAATGTTTGAAAAACACTGAAAAACAATGATTTGGTGGGCTTAAGAAACTACAGGACAAATACTATCATAAAGAGATGTCGATCCATTTACTAAACATTCATTCACATATGCATTGGGATTTAACAAATATAAGCTTTCATTAGACACATTTGAAACCACCTGACTTGTAAAATTTCCTCCTTACATAAGAATTACCCAATAAAACCAGGGCCTCTAGATAGAAAGTACTGCATTTACTTACTGCTAAATAGCTATCTATTTACTAGGCAAATCCAGCATAGCCAATTTATAAATCAAAGGTGGAAGTATGGGAAAATACCCTTAAGAAGAGCCAAATAATAATTTTAAAGAAAAAAAATAGGTTGTTGAATTGGCAACCAGATAAGTTAATTTAAGGAATATTTTATTAAGGAATGGAAGTTCACCAACCCCTGTAAGATGAGCCCTAGGGATGATACAGAGTGGGGAGGAGGGAAAGGACTGTATTTCCAAAAGGGAGAGGGCTAGAAAGGGAATAAGATACAACCATCATGAGAGAAATTTAACTTTCAGATAACAAAAAAAAATCTGGTAAGTAAAACATCTTGTTTCCTGGCTATGATACATAACAAAGTTGTTATTTTATTTGGAAGACCTCCTGTATTGCAAACTATAATTAGGTATGCAGTACCTAAGCAATCTGTATTTTCCAAACTTTTTGCTTCTTGACTCACCCATCAACTTTTGGAAACACAGCAAAAAGAGAAAAGGTTGGCCATCAAAAGGGATAATTCATCATTATTTCCCATAACCATTGTTCTGGATTAGCTAACACACTCTGGCTCCCACACTCACAGTCCACTTCTGAGGGAAACCGCCCTGCTCACGGGAGCCCTGGATGGCACCTTATACAGAGATCCAATCTTTGTGCTAACTAGCAGCCTCTGGAAAACTGGTGTGAAAGCTCTGCCCAAACAGGGATGAAGTGTTTGGGTGGACTGTCAGATTTTTACTCAGGAATTTAAACCATGGATACAGGGAAAGAACTGAGAAGCTGGTGGAATGAACAGAAGTGGGTAAGGGCATGGGGAAAAGGAACAAAGAGTAAGCAGATTATGTGAATGGCAGGGTTCTGGAAAATCAATGGGTACCTCCTATTACAAGTCATCAAAGGTTTCAGAGCCACTGACGCTGCTGAAAGCTGGCACAGGCTCTGTGAGGCCTGGCTGAGCGATGGAGATGCCCTTCATTGCTATTTTCTTATGTAATCTTACTCTACATCTCCATTTCTCTCTCAAACCTAAATAATTCTCTATTCCTTTTAACCAAAAGATGTTAACACAATGGCAGCCTTTTCCTCTGAAGTGCTTTTTAAAACGTAAAATTACTTTCAGTAGAGTTTTTAAATAAAGTACTACTAACATATTGTTATACAATACCTTTCTTATAAAGATCTTATAATAAAAGAATATTTGTGTAGTGGGGTGGGGGGAGGAGGTTTGGTCAGTCAGTTAAAGGAAAAGTAGTTTCTTAGGTTGAACAATATTCTAACTCTTATAACTATTAATACCCCTCATGATTTGAGGATGACACCACTGATGACAATGGCTTCTACAGCAGGATAAGGAATGGGAGTTTTCCTGGTGTCTCAGAATTTCAGGAAAAACTCAAAGCTGAGGACAAGGGGAGACAGGTCCCCCTACACACTAAAGAGAGGCACTAATTGTATCCATGCAGGAATTACTTAAAAAGAGAAAAAAAAAGTCAAAAAACAGCCCTAAAACCAAAGTAATCAAGGCAGACAGCTGTTAGCTGGGTAAAGGATTCTGTGGCATTTCCCCCAGATGAACCTCATGCCAAGTGCAGGGGGTCCCCAAGAGAAACATCCAAGGAGATTAGCATTAAGGAAAAAGTGGGGTGGATACTCATTTAGGTAAGAAAATCTACAGACAGCTACCAAAGCAGGGTGTGAAAGAATTCATGGAAGAACTTGACACGTGTCCCCAGGAGTATAGGGGTGCACAGGACAAAGACAGATACTGGTGCTTGCTTTTTATATCTGCAGAAGTCCAAGGGCAGGAGACCGACTGAAGCTGCCCATGCAGAAGGGGTTGGAGAAATGACATGTTATACTTCCCGTGGCCTAAGTAGACGCCATAAAGGTGACCTGTTAGCGCTGTCCCGAAAGGACCCCTCTAAGAAGGCTAAGTGCAAGGGCAAGGCCGTCTCAGCCCCACGTAGTGGTGTGAGGTGTTCCGTTAGAGTCGTAAGAGGTCAGTCACAGAGTGGAGCAGCAGGGAGGTCCTCATGGGAGTCCTGAAGAATCCACCCAGTGCCCCTCACAGAAAGCTAGCATGTCAGCATCTACCACACAAAAGGCCCTTAACTGGTCACTTCAGACTCTGCTGTTTCACTCTAATCTTCTATCCCCCTCATTCTGAGCCTAGAGAAGCCAAGCGAGCAGAGAGAGGAGAAGAGAGAGAACAAGTCACCCCTCTTCTCTGCTGCTGATCCTGGGCAAGGCCTAACCTAGAGGGCGGGACAAGCTTTGAAATGCACACAAACTTTCACTTTGACTGGTATTTAGGGTTTTTTTTTTTAAATACCTCAATATGAAGCTATCTGAATCCCGCTGAAGGTGAAAGAAAGCTATGGAACATCAAGAGGTCAGAAATGGGGATCCAACAGAGCTTGTTTAAAGGAACTGGTAGGAAATTTTCAAGCTCTTTCATCATTGTACCCAACTGCATTTAATCCATTTTTAAAATGCTTACATTTTTAACTGTTCAGTCTTTAATGTCACACAAAGCTTACCTTTGAAAAAAGCCCTTCTGCCTCTATACTGTATCCTTTAAGGTCCTCATGTAATTCCTGCAAACACTGTATAACTCTTCTTTGATGTTCATCGTCCTTTAGCTCACGAGCTTTGATCAGAAAGTCATAGTGGTCCAGTGGTCCATGGCAAACAGCTAAAGCTTTTGAATAAACCTCTGTAGCAGCAGTTGGAGACATACTCTTGGCTGTCTGAACTGTATAGGCTATAAACAAAAATATATATAAAATTTTAGACTTTCTGAAATGAAGATATTTCATAGTGCTCTACATTATTTCTTAATGGCCACATTAAAACTTTTAACCAGTTATAATTATATTTGAGCAGTTGTAAATATCACTTTGATGAAAATAATAATATAAACCACATTTTGTAACAAATATAAATGTAATATAAATGTAATATAAATATAAATGTCTCAGTTTCATAAACCCCAAACTCATAAACTATCACTACAACCCCTCTTCCAGGAAGAATGGAATGTCTGCTTTGCCTGCACTCCGATGAATGAGCCACCTGGGTTCGTCACATCCTTCTTCACAGCAGGGGTGGGACCTTTCTTTGCATTAGGCCTAAATCTGGTTCTTCAGTACGAAGACAGAGACTTAGACACTAGTCACAAAGGGTTTTCTACTGCCTCTTTATTCGCTGTCTAAAACAACACAGCATTCAGATGTTACCACATTGAATTCAGCACACTGCTTGCGAGACTCCTTCCCTTTTCCATCACCTTTAGGTTGAACACAAAGAGTTGAGACACAACAGAGTGTCTGTTTCAAATCAGGGAGGTGTGTTAATCCTTTTTTTAGCTTCTTGGGGAAGAAAACTGTCTGTGGTAAGGTCCAGTTATAACTCCATTCCTTATCTGGGGCAGGTTCAGTGAGCAGCAAACTGGCACATTTTTAGACAAAGATTTTACAAGGGTATTTTGCCATTGTTTCTCTTGTTTCATTGAATACCATGTTTCCTTTATTTCAATAATATGAAAACTACTTAATTTAGGAAAAGAATTAACAGTCACAACATTATTTCCATCATTTTCTAAAAAAGCAAAAAAAAAAGCCTTAAATATACCATGACTGTTGGGGATAGGGCAGAGCTATCCTCTAATAACTGCTCTCCCTTTTTCTGAATAAAGGTTTTAGCTGGGTGCAAGGCTGCCGAGTGAAATATTCCATATCCTGGCCTCTCTGGCAGCAAGGATGGTCATGTGAACAATGGGATGTAAGCTGAAATGTGTGCAGCTCCGCTCTGGAGCACTTAAAGGGAAAGGGTGAATCCCACTCCTCCCCTTCCCTTCCCTCCCTCTGACTGGAAAGAAAGTGCCATGACTGCAGCTGGAAGAGCCAACCTGGCAAGGAGAGGCGCACAGAATGCTGAGCAAAGCAGAGCAAAGTTCCCTAACAATGCTGAGCTGCCAAACCAGCTCTGGACCACCTGCCGGGATTTTTATGTAAAATGTCTATCTTGCTTTTCAAGCAGTGTATTTTAGGGTCTCTTTGTTACGGAGGCCTAAATTGTACCCTAACTAATACAGGGGGCTTACAGCCTGCAAAAGAGAACCGGACTAAGGGTCTCCTGGAACCCTAGGCCTCATAGGACCAAGAACAAGGCTTGGGTTCATGTTGAAGCTGGAGGCATAGGTTGAGAGTTCCATAAGGTTTCCAGCAATTTGAGATGTCTACCAGAGTGGTATAAGAAATATATTTGCCCTTGGTCCACAGTCCCTAGTACAGAGCTCATAAAACCCTTGGAATTTCCTAAGTGATAGAGTGTTTTCTGTTTATCATAATGAGCCTCTTTCCATCCCACATATGCTAATGAACGCAGGGTAGGGCCCCAAGATAACCTCAGGACATGGCTGGTCCCCAGAAAGACCAAGTGTTTAGAAAGTTGGAACTTGCAGCCCCACCCACCAATTTGGGAGGGCAGGGGAGGCTGGAGATTAAATTCTATAACCACTTTTTTTTTTTGTATTTGAATACTCAAAGCAGCAGCTTTATTTATAATATTTAACAGCTGGAATGAACCCAAATGTCCATCAATTGATGAATGGGTTAACGATGGTATATCCACACAATGGATTATTACTAAGAAGTAAAAAGGATTAAAACTACTGATAAATATAACAATGTAGATGAATCTTAAAAGTATTACGCTAATTGAAAAAAGCCAGAAGCAAAATTTAATTTTATATGACTACAGTATACAAAGTTCTAGAAAAAGCAAAACTTTTCTAGTGAAAGAAAGCAAATCAGTGGTTTCTAGAACCCAGGAATAGGGTTATGGGATTGGTAGCAAAGGGGTAGGAGCAAATTTTAGGGGTGATGGAGATATTCTATATTATGATTATGATGGTGGTTACATGACTGTATACATTTGTCATAACTCATTGACTTGTTCATCTAAAATCATGAATGTTATTTGTATATAAATTGTACTTCAATAAAGGTTTCACAGGAAAAAGGGAAACTTTGGGCTATAGATGCTGTTTTACAAGTTAGCTTTTAAAAAAGTATAAGGCTTCCCTGGCGGCGCAGTGGTTAAGAATCTGCCTGCCAATGAAGGGGACATGGGTCCGAGCCCTGGTCCGGGAAGATCCCACACGCTGCAGAGCAACAAAGCCCATGCGCCACAACTACTGAGCCTGTGCTCCAGAACCCATGAGCCATGACTATTGAGCATGCGTGCCACAACTAGTGAAGCCCTCACGCCTAGAGCTCATGTTCTGCAACAAGAAAAGCCACCGCAGTGAGAAGCCCACGCACCGCAACAGAGAGTAGCCCCCACTCACCACAACTAGAGAAAGCCTGTGCACAGCAACAAAGAGCCAACTCAGCCAAAAATTAATTAAGTAATTTTTAAAAATTATATGTTTACATGCTTCTATTAACAATCTTGAACAATAAGATATGGAGGGTTTCCAGGATGGTGAAAACATCAAGGTGCCAGGAAGGTGACATACCCAGAGAGGGCACAGAAGCTCCACACCCCTGCTCCTATCCCTTGCCCTGTGCATCTCTTCCATTTGTCTGTTCCTGAGTTCTATGTACCCTTTATAATAAACTGATAAACATAAGTAAAGTGTTTTTTCTGAGTTCTATGACCATTACTAGTAAATTATCAAATTTAGCTAAGTATCAACCCCCTAAATTTGTAGTCAGACATGCGGAAGTGTGGGTAGCTTGGGCAGCCCATTTGCAGCTGGCCTCTGAAGTGGGGCCACTTTTGTGGGATTGGCCCTTTAACTTGGGGGATCCGATGCTACCTCCAGGTAGATAGTGCCAGAACTGAGTTGATGGATAACCATTAGTGTTGGAGGATTTGAGAACCTCACAACCAGGGAAAATGCTCTTTTCCACTCCCTGGAATCAATCAAGTAAGAAACCTAAGATAATGCTAATTTCCTTCTCCTCCATCCCACAAACCCTCTCCCCAGCCCTCAACCAGGTCCTCAGCCAATCAATCATCAGTGCTACTCAATTTTACATCCTAAATACTCTCTAATCCATTCCCTCCTCCCCTCTTCACACAACCACTCCAGCTGGGCCTCTTATTGTCTCTGGCTTGGCCTCCCTGCCTCTGATCGCCTCCTGCCTCACATTTACCACGACAACACCACAATCTCTAAAAATATCTTCCATCAACTACAGGGATGATCTTGCTAAAATCTCAATGTGATTTTATCAATATTTTGCTTAAAATTCATCTCATTGTTTAAAGGCGTAGTTTTCTTTTTTTTTTTTTTTTAAGGGAAACAGTTTTTTTTTTTTTTAGCTGTGCCAGGTCTTAGTTGCAGCACGCGGGATCTTTTGTTGCGGCACGTGGGATCTAGTTCCCTGACCAGGGATCGAACCCGGACCCCCTGCACTGGGAGCACAGAGTCTTAGCCACTGGGCCACCAGGGAATTCCCTAAAGGAGTGGTTTTCAAATGCAATTTTAACAGCAGCACCTTTTTCTATACAAAACTTTCCATCAGATCCCAAATTTATTTAAGAGAAAAGAAGAGGGGGTAACAAAGTCCTGACCTCTTCACATTTCCCTCATTCCCAAGCCCATATCACCCCATTTCCAAATCAGCCCCTAAGGCCACTTCCCCACCTTATAGGATCACATTTAAGTAAGAATAGTGTGCAGAAAAGAGTTAACACAGCAGGTCTGAGACTACCGTCCTTAGCGATGCCTGCTTGCAAAAATGGGCCCTTGACTGGGAACTTAGGTTCCCATCATTCCCAGAAATGGTAAGAGTGACTCACTGTGCCTAAATGTTTGTATCGTATACAATGTGATTTATGCTGAACACCTAGTTTCCTTCTATAAGTCTGTAATTTTGGCACATGCTAGGCAGAGGGTGCCTTTGTAACCACGGCTCAACTCTAGGCATTGAGCCTATAATGAGCTTCCCTAATAGACAACATTTCACACCTGTTGTCACAGTAAGTTGCTGGAAGAATTAAGCATGTTCTGTTTGACTCTCCTGGGAGAAGACGCTTGTAAGCTTGTGCCTAATTTTCTCGGAACGTTGTCCCACACGCATTTTCCCTTTGCTTCCTGTGCTCTGTATCCTTTCGCTATGATAAATCTTAGCTGTGAGTATAACCATATGCTGAGTCCTCTGAGTCTTCCTAGTAAATCACCAAACCTGGGGGTAGTCTTGGGGATTCCCAACACAGATAGTGTCCTCATTCTGAGGTTCAAGGAATCCATAATAGGGGCACAGCCTGCATTTTCAGACTACTCCCCCTCTACTGTTCAAAATGCATCTATTTTTTCGATACAAGAAATGACTGAGTACCACCACATGCAATTGGGTAATAGGGAATATCAAAGTTGACTTGTTTTTTTTGGTTTTTTTTTTTTTTTTTTTTTTTTTTTTTTTTTTATTTATTTTTGGCTGCGTTGGATCTTTGTTGAGGTGTGCGGGCTTCTCTTGCGGAGCACGGGCTCCAGGCACATGGGCTTCAGTAGTTGTGGCACGTGGGCTTCAGTAGTTGTGGCTCGCAGGCTCTAGAACACAGGCTCAGTAGTTGTGGAGCACGGGCTTAGCTGCTCTGCAGCATGTGAGATCTTCCCGGACCAGGGATCGAACCTGTGTCCCCTGCATTGGCAGGCGGATTCTTAACCACTGTGTCACCAAGGAAGTCCCAAAGTTGACTTGTTTTAAGTGCGGGTGGAAAAATAAAAAAATTGCAGCAGTAATGTAT